ACACCACGTACGCGATTTAGGTACCGACTTTCACGATCGCGGAACGGTTTTCGTGGTTCAACGTTGCCTCGAATGACACGGCTATGGCCTGGTGACCACCGGAGGTCAAGATTTTACGAGCCACGTCGTAGAACGCAGCCGTTTCCATGGCTTCAGGGTACTAAAATTCGAATTTCACGGCTAAGAGATTCCTTCCTGGCGGAGTTTAGCGACACTGGCGTCGTCCAATAGTGGCGTCGCCAGCTATTTTCTGAATTACTAACTATCACTCTGCTGTTGAATATTTTCTATCAGCTTCTGAAGTCAGTCTGTTCGTAGAGATGCGTGTATATTTGGCGACATTTGCGAGGTTATCTCGTATAGTGAAATATCATCGGACGATACATTGGAACATTGTACAGTGATAAACGTCATAGTCAGTCTGAATACGAGTTTCTATTACGATTGTGTGTGTGTATATATATATATATGTATGAATGTCTACGTGAACGAAAAATCACGATTACGATTGTATAAATCAAACGAGTTTGCATAAACGAAGTTTTACTTTAAATCAAGTGGATGTCTACTTTACGACTTTGAACGAAAAGTCGCGGACAATAATCTTCTTTCATATATAAAATTAAAGAAGAAAAAAAGACACTTAAAATAAGAAAACTCCATTTCTGAATTATTTGATCTGATCGTCAACTTCCACTATAGCTATTACAGTTGATATGAACTCCATATCAAAGACTCATGGGCAATAACATTCTTTCATATATAAAAATTCAATAAATGACCATTTAAAAAAAAAAATACTCGAAATGAAAAAATTCCATTTCTCAATTACTTATCTGATCCTCAACTCGATACGAACTTCATATATAGAGTCACAGACAACGACCTTCTTTCGTATATAAAAATTCAACAAATGGTCATCTTTAAAAAAAAAACACTCGAAATGAAAAAAACTCCATTTTTAAATTACTTATCTGATGATCAACTTGACATGAACTCCATATCAAAGAGTCATAGACAATAATGTTATTTCATGTGTAAAAATTCAACAAATGATCATCTTTTACAAAAAAAGAAGAAAAAACACTCAAAATGAAAAAATTCCATTTCTGAATTACTTATCTGATTCTTAACTCGATACGAACTTCATATATAGAGTCACAAACAATGATCTTCTTTCGTATATAAAAATTCAACAAATAACCATTTAAAAAAATAAAAAAAAAAACACTCGAAATGAAGAAACTCCATTTCTTAATTACTTATCTGATCGTCAACTTGATATGAACTCCAAAGAGTCATAGACAATAACTTTCTTACATGTATAAAAATTCAATAAATGACCATCTTTTACAAAAAAAGAAGAAAAAACACTCGAAATGAAAAAATTCCATTTCTGAATTACTTATCTAATCCTCAACTCGATACGAACTCCATATATAGAGTCACAGACAATGACCTTCTATCATACATAAAAATCCAACAAATGACTACTAAATGTGACTTACTGAAAAAAAAAAAAAAAAAAAAAAAGAAAAGACATTCAAAATGAGAAACTAATTGTGAGTTATTTATCTGATCGTCCACTAAAAGTCATTGCGATAGCTGATACGAACTCTAGATACACAACTGTAGACTTCAGTCTACAAATCGTAGAAAAATCGAGGAACGAAATATTTCTATCTTGAGGCTCGTCGTATATTTGAACGCGATTACGCGATCAAGACGGCGACAATTGTCGGCAACGTGGCAACCTACATTACCGCGTCCGCCTTTATTATTTACGACGCGACGATTTCACGACGTTAAACTTTCGTCAGCCGACTGTCAACAATGATAATTCCAGGCCGTTTCTCCTCGCTGGCAGAAGCTCGACAGAGTAACAGAGCAACTGTTGGGTATTTGCGGTTGTTTTCAGAGGAAGATATTCTGTTACAAGCCAGAGGCGGACGAGATCACGAAGCTGCTAATGCACCAGTATCCGACACCGACTTCATTCGAGAAATATGCGCCGAGGGTGTACCGTTACCGGTTGTCGTCATCGTCGTCGTCGTCGTCGTCGTCGTCGTCGTCGTCGCGGATTATGCAATGCAAAATGAACGAAGAAACGAAAGAGACGTTCCATCTCTCTTCCCACTGTCTGTTCGATAGTTCGTTCTCTCTCTCTTTCTCTGCCGTTACGCGCCGCTGATTAAACGAATGTTCCAAGAAATTAAATTACTCTCCGGGTTCCGAAGAAAACCGATACCGAGAGTCCTCCGACAGTCGAGCCCTCTAACTATCGACTTTTATCGTTGATATTCTCTCTCTCTTTTTAATCCTGAGTTGCGTAAGAACTCAGCTGTGCAGCTGATCAATCTTTGACGTTTGAAAAATTATGCCGACTGTGAGCAGAAATACTAAACGTTCGTTGAAATAATCGAAGCTCTTCGGCTTCCGTCCTTTATTTTTCTGGCGTTCTTTTTAGTTATTAAAACTGTGGAACTGATTATAACAGGAAGTAAATATACGAGCAGGTTCATAAGTTGTTCGAATTGCGGATTAATGAACTTCTGTATAGGAAGTGGTATTGTTCTGTTGGAAAATCCGTTGCTGCAACACAGGAGAATAAATCGATGCCGATGAATATAACATCTCTCTCGTGGCTCGTGAAATTTCGTCAATAACTTTTATTAATTCAAAAAGATTTTAATCTGTCACACAAGCGAACTAATTTCTACTTAGAATAATTTGCAATGTACTTAAGAGTAACTTCAAGTATTTCCATTCCATAATTGATACATCGTTCGAAATATTTCGCTACAAAAATAAGTATCTTAACCTCTTGCGCTGGCAACTGGGTTCGCGGACCATAACGAGTGACCAAACCCGTATACAATAACTCGTCACCTTTTTGAATTCATCGGTATATCATTGAACAGAAATTATTGAAAAGTAATAAATTTATTATGTTTTGCCTGGTTTATATTTAAAACTGAGAAAATATTGCAAATATTCTCGACGCACGTCATTCCAGCGCAAGAGGTTAACGATACAACATCAGCTTAATCGCGGTATCAATTGTTTTTAAATATTTCGCTGAATCTCCGAAAAAAGAGAAAGATTCTCTTTTTTTTTTTTATTTTTCATCTAGCCTCAAGCAACATCGCACATCACCGTCATCTGGCACGCATTTTTTTTCCCTCCTCCACGGAAGGCGTTCTTCCTATCTTTTTTCTTTCTTTTTCCACGACCTCATCAAAGAGCTCGAAAACCAGTCGGCTCGGTTTAAGTTACAACATTGTGGGCGCGAAATACATAACTCGCCTTCCCGGTGGCCATTTCTATTTCGCCATGATTTCCAACCGACCGGACGTAGTTGCATTTTTCACAAGCGGGAACAGCGCATGGTCGACAAATTAGGTTCCACCGGGAATGAAATTTTTCGTACTGTCACTTCCTCGTCGTCTCCTCTTCGTTTCGGGTCACGTACCTTTCTCACCTTCTTTCGCCGCCATTCTCCTTCGTACTTCCCCCCTCCCCCCTCTGTCGACAAATTCCGTCCTTTTTCTCGCGATCTAATCCTGCAGGATTATTCTGTAGCGGTGACTTTAGCTTTGCTCCTCCGAGCAGATAAAATCCGAGTTAACAGGTTTATTACGTGAGAAAAGTTCGCTCGAGGACTTTCGCGTTATTTAACGAATATTTATTGTGTTGGTATTTTGATATTTATTATTTTACTTTTTATATTTATTATTTTATTATTTATTATTTTATTTTTTATATTTTTTATTATTTATTATTTATTGTTTTATTTTTGATATTTATTATTTTATTATTTATTATTTATTACTTATTATTTATTATTTTATTTTCATATTTATTATTTTATTATTTATTATTTATTGTTTTATTATTTATTTAATATTTATTATTTTATTTTTGATATTTATTATTTTATTATTTCTGTTCCATGGTATCAATAATATGTAACAGAAATGATAGATGATATAACCGATCTTGAATACGTATCAAAATATTTTACGCATAAATCGTTATAAATAATTAAAATAAATTTCTCTTTCTTTCTAAACAGGGGTCAATATTAATATTCGTATTTTTCAGGCAATTGTAAAAAAAAAGAAACATCTGAAAACCAAACATATGGTTCTAGTGTCAATATATTGTGTTGGATCAAAGGAATGATATACATAGACAGGAACGAACAGAATCATTCTAGGGACAAGGACACTGATTATCTTCTTTTCAAAAAATACAATTGTGATCTTTTACATTTTTCAAAATTTCAATTGTTATTTTTCATCGATATTCAATTGATACTCTACGGAGAACAATTGTGTGATATTTTATTGCTTCTATTGCGATTGTGTGACATTTAATTGCTTGATACATTGAACAAGAGCAACAATCTGGCAGCATTATTCTACGACAGGGATTTTAGTTTTCTTCTTTCAAAACAATAGAAGCTGTTCGTGTTTCTACAGAGAATTTCAATTGTTATTTTTCATGGATATTCAATTGACACTTGGAGAACGATTGTGTGATATTTTATTACTCGACACGTTGAAGAAAAGGAACAATCTGGTAGTATTATTCTACGACGAGGACTTTAACTTTCTTTCGAAAAAAAATCTGACTTAGAATCTGTCAGTAATTTCTATTAGAACAGAAACATAGAATTCCAATTGTTTCTGAATTGGACAATTGGAGAACGATTGTGTGATACTTTATTACCTCGATACGTTGAACAAAAGGAACAATCTGGCAGTATCATTCTACGACTTCCTTTAGAATTGACAGCCCTGTTTCGTTTCGTGAGAAAAGTTGATTCTTTCGTTGCAAGGCAATTCCACTGTTCGTGACATCGAGGATTGCAATCCCGATTTCTATGAATATTCGATATTGGTACTCGGCGAACGATTGTGTAACGTTCTAGTTAATACATCGGCAGAGATAATAGTGATAGTTATTGGGCACTTAAAACGACAACGCTTACTTACGGCTCTGTTAAGTCTCCGTAAAGGCGCGCGTATAACTGTCGGTTTCTCTTACCTGCAACAGAAAGGGGGGCAAACGTTATTTCACATGGCGCTCGCAAATTGTAGAAAAAGAAATCATCGATAAAACGATAAAACTTTCGCTGAAACGGTTTTAGTGCTTAATCGTGCGATATCTCGAACCATAAGGAAACAACCGCGAATTATTCGCGAGTCATCGAATTGCAATTTATCTCGAACGTTATCAAACGAATGAAAAATCGGAGAGGAATTTCACTGGAGAAAATTCACTCGACTATAGTTGAGAACCTCTCAGCGAAATATTGCAATTGTGATCGATGATTGAAATGTTTTGTTGCATTTGTAGCCATAAAGAATTTATATATTCATATAGATAAGCGTAATGTACGAGTTACGTCAGTATCATGATTCTTCATCGATTTTATTTTCAACAAAATATTAAAATCGAGGAATAGTGTTCGAATATTTTTATTAACAATTCATTTTTATTTCTTGCGAACAAACTTTACATTTTAGTTAAAATATTAAAGGTACGTTGCTATCATTGATATTTTCATTTGATTTTACTTTACAAATAAATTATGATATTAAAATCTATGAATAGCGTCCGAACATTTTCACGAACAACCGTGGACGATGTTCTACCGTTTTAAATAAATTTTACACCACGATTATTCATAAGTTCTTGTGTCCCAAAATGCATCTGCATGTTGCTACTACGATCCCTGTCCAATCTTATTTTAAACAATCTGTTCAATCTAATCTAATTCGACAAAGTTCATTCACTTTCGTTCAATCTCATCTTTTCAAAGGACTCTCTACACTTGAGTTATTAATAATTCAAGCACCAAGAAGGCACAATCTTATTTTAGGCAAACCATTAAAATCCAATGACAGCCATGTTTGATCCGTGGCTGCCATTTTCAGGCGATACTAATAGCCAGGGGGATGCTTTATAATTAGCTCATTATCACCAGGACTACCAACAACTAAAGTAGAACATTTGCAGCAAATAAATTAAAGTGCATGAAAAGGTTAATAATACACAAGCTTCTATTAATATATTTGATTAAAAATCACTCGATTATCTAAAAATGCACTGTTGTAAACATATATGATTGCCACAGGAACTATAAAAATTAATCATTCTGACCACTTTGGTAATATCGTCAAAAAAATTCACATAGAACGTCATCAACAGTTTTACAACTCGATTGTCTAAAAGCACGCTGTATATATTTTATAAATATAAAATTACCATAGGAAATTATGAATTAGTCATTTTGACCATTTTGGTAGTGCTTGAAATGAAATGCAAGTACAATTCGCATAAAACGTCACCAATCCAGTCGGATTAATATTATCTGTTCCCCTAAGCTGAAGCTGGCTGAAAGCTGTCGCCTTAATGATAATGCCACCAATGAGTCGCGAGGCCCCGAGTATTACACGCTTATTGCCATCCGGTAGGCTGTAGCCTCTGCTTTATGGTCCCCGTTTGCCCTTTAAAGGGCCCATCGTGAAAGGGCGTTAACTCGCTCATGAAACCGAGTCGTATCGTTTCGATTCGAGTCGTCAAAGTGCTTACTTAGCCTTAAGTGGCTCGGCTACGGCCAAGTAATTGGAACGACGCGAAAATTTCACGAAAGAAAGAGATTTCTTTGTCCGCGGAAAATTCTCTGCATTCTCCGGGCTCTCTTCATTCGTCATTATTGGAGCTGAAAATTGATTTCGGCGCGCAATCTGAAGAGCGCATCTCTACGACTATAAATAAATGTGAGAGAAATTTTCGTGGCGAAATGCAGATGAAAATGATTGTACAGTTAAATTATTATTTTCTTCCGAGGAGGGCATAAATTTTGTATAGGCAAACAAGATGCCTACAAGATTTCAGAATGATTCTTGTTTCCTACAGTGAAACTATATTTTTTATTTAGAATTCATTCCACCTGTCATATTTTGGTATGTGTATGGTAAAAGTGTCAAGGATATTATTATATCTTATAGGGATCATTTTGTTTATCAAAGAAATTCTCTTCAGATTTATGTGTTTCGCGCAGAAAGATGTGTCTGTTCTCGTGGAATTTTTACAAAAAGAAATGTCACGCTTGGGAACGCTTTTGAATGACGTTCTCGTTGGAACAGATACTTTAGAATTGGGAAAAAGTTATTTTTAGAACATTTCAATGAAAGTCCATATTTATATTTCTTCGACAGTATTCAGTGTCAATACTGAGCAATTTTTCAACTAATTGATGAACTGAAATTTTGTCACACAAATACGAACGAAATATGATAGAAAATTCGAATGAAATGAAATTATAAATTCTACATTCCTAAGGCAAAGATATTTCGTTTATTCTTGCCACATATTAAAAAAACACACACACATACGCACACACGCTATCGACATCTCGTTACCAAATGCAAATAGTTCAGCATCCAAGATTCCCGCGGTGACGTGGCAGTTATGGAAACTTTGGTGAATTTTCCAAAATTCCCAGAGTACCTTCCCCGAACTTGGTTCGTTCTCCTCGCGAACGAGCAAGTCACCTGCAGCCAGCTTCTTTGCGAAACTTCTTCGTCATACGCGCAACGACCGCTACGACGCTTCAGAACCTTCGTCAGACCCCCATGAATTTCAGATAAGAACAGGAGAACGGGGCCCTCCAACCTCTGTCCTAAACCTTAACGAGAACGGCTGAAACTTCCACTTCCAGCCAAGTGGCTTATTAAGGCAACGTAATTCGGTGCGCGCGAGAACGTAAAACGCCGGCCTGTCCCGAACGTCATAAATCACAGAGTCGATGGCGGGGGAAGGGCAAGAAGCTCGAAGAAATTCGACGCGGAGAACGTTCGACGGAAGTCGAAAATTTGTCTCGCGAAGGTAAAAAAAAAAAAATATTCGTACACTCGATGAAAAATTCGATATCTCAAACTCTCTTTCCCATCTTAAACAGAAGAAATTGTTCGACAAACTTTAATTTTGCCACTGTTACAAAGGGGAAACTTCCATCTTTGAGAGAATGCCAGATGTTCTTTCGGTGTTTACAAAGACGACTGTTAATTTTCGAGAGGGAAAAGTAATTTTTTAGTTCGTCATCTTTCAAAATGGTATAAAGATATATTTGAGAGAAGTAAATGATTCTCCCCTTAATCAGATTTCAAGTTTTTGAAGGGAGAGAAATTTCGAGAAGAATAAAGAAAATACGCGTGAATGTCAATCTCTTAAAAACAAATATTCTTCCGTAAATATATTTTCGCTGTTTTTCTGTCTCTCTCTTCCTTCGTTACAATTTCGAAATTACAAGCAAAACTCGACGTGATAGCTAATAATCGATAACTGACAATTAAAATTATTATCGTCATGTTATAATTATAATTATTATTGTAACATTAATAATTGTAATTATTATTACGATGTTAATCACATTTATACAACAACTGTTAATTTAATTAATTGTCCATTTTTCTTTCATCGTGATCGACGATTAATATCATCGATTTCTTAAAATTGTTTAAATTGACGATTTTTTAACTGTCGACAGCCTTGAAACTCTGAAAGAGTATCGTCGAACGACAGTTTTACTCGCGTTGCTAACTCGCGTTGAGGCTCGCTTTTGAGTTCACTGGCCACGGGATTCCGAGAGGGCGAATGCCACGCTGTATGATTCGCAAGTGGTTCGTAATAGACTTTCGGGAAACGGGGCGCTTTTAGAACCACACAGGAGGGTGTGATTCACCCCTTGTACGCGCGGGAACGCGACGCGCAGTGTCTTTCGACAGAAAATCGCGAAACGACTTCTCTCCGAATGGAAATCCCTGCAAAAGGACGTGTCATTTGCTTCTTCTTCACATTAGAGAATAAAATTTCGCCGCGATTTGTAAAAGCAACTTTTATTTTTTATAACAAAAATAGTAGGCAATTCTAAGTTTCACTGAGACTTCGATTCTGACAAACTTGCCTTTGAACATAAACGCTTTGTTGTTGCATACTCTTGAATTCCATCGTAATCAGTTTATTCTCGTCGATTTTCGTCGTAATTGAAAGTTAAGATGAACAAAAAATTCATTGATCAATTATGTTACGTACATTTATATATTTATATACATCATTTGTATATGTTCTCAATGACTTTTTGATACGATATTCTTCGATGTAGGCGTATTTCTGAAATTCTCCCTGAAAGCTTCTGTATCGACATTTTTCGTGTTTGACTGTTTTTTCATTTTGACCAAATTTGGACAAACAAATTCGTCTTCAAAGTGAAATTCAATGTACACAAAAAAAAAATCACAATGGTGCTTCTTGGTACCTTTCCTCAACTCACTTCGAAATTGATAAAAATTCTATATAAAAATTCTATATAAATATATAAATAATTTAATAATTTAATAATTTAAAAAATCAGTCATAAATAATTTAATAATTTAAAAAAATCAGTCATAAATAATTTAAAAATTTAATAATTTAAAAAATCAGTCATTGTTACATAAAAATTCTTCGATAATTTTAAAGCTATTACTGTGCTAAGCTCGTCTTGTAAAAACGAAACTAAAGAAACAAATGTTACACCTGATACACAATGTAACACCTGAGTGTTTGAAAGAAATGCATCCTTACGTCTTTCAACAAAGTTATAGGTAACACTGCAAGCCACGTTACGTTACTAATATACATACTTCACAACACAAGATTCTTTTCAGATGTCGTACGTATTTCATTCGTCTTTTATCTTTTTCGCATCGAACGTTGCGGTGTGGCGTCGCGCGCAACGAAGAAAAGGAGGGGAACGAGGCTGAGGGAGGGGGAAAAGACGAAGGAGAGGGGGAAAGACGAAGAATCAGGGGAAGGAAGGAGCGCAAGAAGGGGGTCAAGCGAGATTTCGACCGCGATTCCGTGTGCGAGCAGCTGTCGACTCGTACGCGAACTTCTCTCTCCCCACGCACAAACCAGCCTGTCAGCAATTTTGGTAATTGCTTCGGCTTGGTACGCGCGACGATCCTCGGTTGCCCTTCCTCCACCTCTGCCGCGCTGTTTGCATTAAAGCGGCTGCTCGATGGTGGAACGAGCGACGACGACGACGCAATTTGCGCAACCAGATTGTTATTACAATTTTCCCGGGCGAATGGGAAGCGGCGTTTTCGAGTGTTTAATTTGAACCCGGGGCGAAACACGCGTGCTGTTTATCAACGTTCCCGGGCTGAATTCTGGCGAGTTCTGCGTTTCCGAGGATTAATCGAGGACTGGAGGTTTGTTCTGCCGGCGGAGAGAAAAAGTAGGCTGTATCAATAATAATAAATGAATATAATAATAGATCAATTATATTCAATTATATATCAATTATATAATATATAATATAATAATAGATCAATATAATGATATATAGATCAATAATAATAAATGAAGAAAAGAAGAATAAATAACGAATGAACCAAAGAAAGAAGAAGAACAAAAAAAGAAGGAAAAAGAAAGTATTTATTTATAAAAGCGATTAATCATTTCATTCGTTAAAGAAGCAATTATATCTGATCGTTGAAAGATCGACAACTACCGCATTGCACAATAGAATTCTCTCTCACAATGTCCACGATCTCTTCCCTCTCTTAATTCCATTTCGAATATAATTTATAAATCTCTTAATGATTTAAAAATCTATCGACACTACCAAACTAGATTAGGCTGGGAACGAGAAGAGTTGTCGATCAACTCTGCAAATAGGGACAAGGAAAGAGCAAAGATTCGGCTCGGTGGTTAACGTTGCGTTTCCTCGCCCGAAACAAGGGGAAATCGAACAATGAACGTTCGATTCGAATTAGGCGCGCTTAATTTGAGACAATACGCGGGAACAGTTGTTTCGTCGAATGTACGCCGATCGGAGCGCGAACAATACCGATGCACGGCACTGTGTTCAATGGGAATG